ACTATATCATATTAGCACCAAGGACAGACATGTTCACCTGTGTGGATAGTGTTCAGCACCAAGGACAGGCATGTTCATGTGTGTGTGTATGTGTGGATAGTGTTCAGCACCAAGGACAGGCATGTTCACCTGTGTGTGGATAGTGTTCAGCACCAAGGACAGGCATGTTCACCTGTGTGTGGATAGTGTTCAGTACCAAGGACAGGCATGTTCACCTGTGTGTGGATAGTTTTCAGCACCAAGGACAAACATGTTCACCTGTGTGTGGATGGTGTTCAGCACCAAGGACAGGCATGTTCACCTGTGTGTGGATGGTTTTCAGTACCAAGGACAGGCATGTTCAGCTGTGTGGATAGTGTTCAGCACCAAGGACAGGCATGTTCACCTGTGTGTGGATGGTGTTCAGTACCAAGGACAGGCATGTTCACCTCTGTATGCATTGTGCTCACTTTTGCTCACAATGTTAAAAGGCAAGTCAATCATCTTCCATTGAAGCATGATGTGCAAGTTATTGTTATGTGTAATTAAAAGAAAAAAATGTGTGCAGATGTTCAAAATAGGATAACAGAAATCCAAATATATGATAGGAGTTTCCAATTATATATAGCTATTATAGGTGTATAATAATAAAATCATCTATCAATAGATATATCTAAAGATTACAAAATGTACAGATAAGAAATTGTTGAAGCATACCTATATGCATCATCTTTAACATAGCTTCCATAGCCCAACTGTTAGCAACTGTAGGTATTACGTACTGGTAAGTTTCAAACCTTACTCCAGCTGCAAAGCATGATGGGAGGTCATAAAAAGGACAGGATGTGTCGCTGTGATTAATGACGCCTGCAGAAGTCAACAAGGCCCCTCTAATCTGATATCTAATAGCTCCCCGATCTATAACGTAATTTGAAAAATAATTGAGGTATGAAATCGGAAAGGCTGCTGCTAGAGGGAAGTAATGGAAGAAATAGCATTCCATACCAGTCTAGCTTTCAGTTTTTATTCTGCGTTGTCAAATCAAAGGATGAGTCCAACTATTGGGATATAAGGATGGATGCCGTGAATATATGTGAAAATTTGTCTACAATCAGACAAGTCGTAGAGTAAGGGTCTGAAAAATACCACAGACTATCTTCAAGTCATTTATCTTCATCTGTTCCAAAATTAATTCCGTCTCTTGCGTAAGGGGATAGAGTTGGTATAGTACTTTCATTACATTCCATATTCAATCAGCAACAGTTCCAGCTTTCTGAAAAATGGCGTATGATATTGGTAGTCGCCGCCAAATTACAGAAATGTTTCCTTGATGTAATTTATGGAAGGTTTAACGACATTTTGGTGATATTGACAGTGTAGGGGTGACAATCTCTATTCTATTGCATCAGGGCAGTGTTTTGTCATTGTTACCATTCAAGATACAGTCTGGCATAGATACAAAAAAAAGACACTCTTTAAAAGATTGTCGTGACTCAGAGTTGTATGAAAATATTACTTTGGATGCTCCATTCTTAAGTTATTATACAGATTTATGTGAAAGTACAGAATTTTCAGTGAAGAAGTAAAATATGCATGTACAATGCACTTGTCAAAAACACACCCCAACCTAGGTAAGAAGACCTCTATTATTAATAAAATAGTCATATAGATCTGTTTTGGCAATCATTGCAACTGCAATTATCTGCTTGAATTTCAGACTGAAAGCTACAAAGACACTACCAATTATATCATAATTATCGTGAATGTTTTTGTGGCTTTATGTTTGGTGAAAGCTCATCAAACAGTTTCCTTCGTGGATCATTCGACTCTTGGCTAACAACTTATGGCCACACCAATTTGATTTGTTGGTTCTTTGATTTTTCAGAAAAAATGGTAAGCGACAGAAATAAATAGAAACAGGCCTAGACATACTATGCTATCCCCTAAGGCTGCAATTGGAGCTATGAAGTCAACATACCAGGTCAGTTTATAATTCAAACAATGAATTTTAAACGTTTTGTCAAACCATTGCATTGATAGATAGAAAAACTGTAACAACTAGGAGGACACAAAAAAACTACCGCAGAGCAGTGGACAAGATTTTCCACAAGATTAGGGAACACAGAGTCTCGAGCTCTTATCTCTCACTGAGCTTAAGAGCTTGAGTGAATCTAGGTCTTCAGCATACCAAAAGGTAGTCTTTTTTCCCCTTATAAGTTATATTCTACATTCCTTTCAGTTTTTGTATATGGTATATATTTGGTATATATCTTATGTGTAATCTGTGAAGAAAACTTGAATAAAGACAGCCAGGCATTATACTGCCAGGAAGAAAAGCAGCTCAGTATTTTATTTGACAATACAGTAATTGGCTTAGAATTACAAAATAATTAGCTTAATCATTACATAGACAAAGCTAATAGATTAGCGTTGATAACAAGTAAGTATGATTCACAATCAAAACTGTTATGCAACTAAAATTTTTCCCTATCTTCTTTTTGTCCTGTTATTCTAAGGTAATTCTGGTTTCCTCCAAAAGAATGATATACAATCTGTCATTGTAGTTTTTGCCTGTGGCAAGAAAAAGAGTGGAAGATAAAAAACCTACAGTTGGTGCATCAATTTTTCATGTACAATCTTACTTCTCATCATCCTCCCTTATCATAGGATCTATCAGGCACATCATCTACTACTGAGGGAGGATGAAAGGATGGATTAATCATGTATTCACCTGCTTTTGTGGACCAGAGCTCCAGCAATGATTGTGATAACAGCTACCATCCATTTTCCTGTCTTACTGAGCTCCACAACAGGAAAAAATCTCTTCTTTCAGCAAATCTTTCCTAAGGTAGCCCTTCAGCTATGCTTAAAATGATTCTTTCCTGAGTGTTTTCACATTCAGCTTTTTTTCTCTAAGTGATATCAATGAAGAGGAATTCTGGAGGCATTTTGTGCTTTAATCCACTTCCTGTGAATTTGATTACAGCATAAACAAAAAGGTACTAGAATTCAAAATATGATTGAGTAATCAAATATACAACATATTACAAACAATATAGTACATTGCTAAAATTATCTTACTTTTGAGTTCAGCTTAGATTGTTATAAACTTTTGAGATTGCTTGTATAAGATGGGAAAATTAGACATGGCACAATCAAGCTAACCAACCAGCCCTTCAACCTGAAGTTTACGTTTTACAATTTTTTGGATGCACCAAACTGTAAATTGTATTGTGTTAGCCCGCACAACCTTATTAACCTTAGCAAAGACCCCATCCCTTCACCCATCCATCCACCTAGCTCCAGCCAATGAGGGCGCCCGAAACAGATTGGATTAAACAATTAAGAATGTACGGTGCCACCTTGATGCTCTGTTTGACTGAAGATGCGCCCTGATGTGATCTGAGTCGACTGTTGTTCGGACTCCTTGTATCTCTGTGGTGATTCATCATTCTTGAGGCAAGGTGTGACCACTGAAGGTTTCCCTGATTGCAAGTTCACACCTGTGAGAGATGTTAAGCTCTTAAAGAACACCTGTCTATTGTGAAGATGAGATGGAGCAATGATTGGCACTTGTCTCCCTTCTTGATGATTTTTGTTGCATCTGATACAATTTTAGAGCATATGTATATATAGATAAAATATATCATCATAAAGTATATGGAGAGAGATATACCCATACCAGGATTAGGGCAGATAGATTTTTAATCTTTTATAAAACAATTATCACATCCAGGATAATAAAGTTCTTTCTACCACAAACAAAATGAGTTTTGGTTGTGCAACAAAGAACTTTATTATCACAGACCATTTAACAACCTGATGAAACTGTTCACAGAAATCACCATACCCAGTTTTACTAAATTGTTTAGTCTTTATTGTTACTCTGCCAAGATGAGTATAGTCCTTTTCCAAATGCATGTTTCAGTGTGGTAGTCATTATGTGATAATCACCATACAACTTTGGTGGTAAGTATTCTGCTAGTGTCAGTACTTTGTATCTAGTCATCCATTGGGAGCACTTAAAGCACACAGATAGCAACACCTCAGACTCATTAAATCCGCATCACAGAACAAGTAGAGGTGTTCAACCTCAGACCTTGAAGACATTGCTGATCTTACTTATAATTTACCAAGTATGATGTGATTAACATTACTGTTGTCTCAGGTAAAATGTAGGAAGCTAAGTTGCCTTGATTTTCTTCAACATTGTGTTACAGATTGCTTTCAATCCTGGTATCATAAGGTTGATCCATTCCACTGTTTCCATCATTTATTATATTTTGCCTGTTTGTTTTTGTTGTTTGTATCAATGTCACTTATATATCTAACACGTGTTCAAATGTACTTCTAGGTTATATGATATCCCTTATATCTTTGATTTGTAAAAAATATTTGAGCATAATGCAAATTACATTACAAGCAGATTTTGCACTTTTCTCAATAACTACAGTAACCATACTACCATGCATACTAAGAATTTTCGTCATATTCTTTTCAGGATTGCAGCCTCTATTAAGCCAATGCTTGTTAATTCTGAACAATTGGTACTGGTAACAATTGAACTGACAAAAAAGGTTGTTTCATAATTTTTTTGGTAGCAAAAAATATTCAATAGGTGACTTTTAGAAGTCTGAAAATGTAGAATAAAACAATGTTCACATTTTCATTTTGCTGAGGTTTTCAACTAATTACATGATCCTTTACATTTTTCCTCTACAGGCTTCCGAAGAACCAGTAGTCATACATTTGTATGAGAGGGAGAAACCAGGATTCCAGGTACCTGCAGTACCATGTTTTTGTCCTAGAGGTCTCTTCCACTCCTGTGGCAGGCTGTGTCTGTTGGCAGATGGGTTAGGCAAAGTGTGCTAGCAGGAGGGTTAGGGAGAAAGTCCTCCCCATTTGTCTTCATCATTATTAATGCACTGTTATGTTGTAATAATTGGGGTGCTACATGGCAAGTATTTGTCACCATGAGGATCACCATCCAGCCAGGAGTAAATACGCCCTATAATGGCGGCATTGTACGCTCGCGGTGGCGATACGTGCGCGTCATCTGTCTCACTTTATCTACCTGCCTCGCTCCTCAATTTCCCAACGAGCGCCGGAGGAGTACGTTGTAACGTGAGACAGTTTGGGTGTCACAGGAACGAACGTTGCCTATTCGGGTTGTGATATTTCACAGGGTTATAATAGAGTGTGCTGTGACTTATCAACGTTCTTGTCCCTAAATCATCAGGATATGTTGTGCCGGTTATAGAAAGTGAGACGGATAAAATAGCTCAGGAGATAGGGTTATGCTAAGGTCATCTTTAAGTTGTCATATAAAACATTATATAGAGAACAAGAAGAGGCAGTGGGATTATTTTTTGTACAAAGAATTGTCACAAATTTTAGAAATATTTATTAAAAGATATTTGAAGCTTGGTATCCTAAAATCTCCATTTTTATCAGTACTTTTGCAAAGACAATGACATAAGACCCCTAAGGTGTTTTATTTATGGTGTTTTTTTAATATAGGATTTTAAGCCTTGATTGCTTGGGCTGCATGAATAGCTCATAATTGATATTAAGATCATTTAGTCAGAAATTCACAAAAAGAAGCAATGGCACTGGTCCTAGGTTGTTTTGCGATTTTTAAAGTAAAATGATCTATTCAAAATCAATCATAACAAGTTAGTGCTACTGCAAATTAGTGTTATGAAATTAGAATGTAGCGAATCAATAGAAACATGACGTTAGATAGTATAGAGTGTCTGTGTGAGTGGTTTTCTCGCTGTAGTGTGTCAACAGTGGCGGCTGCGATGGTGTATCCTGTTTCTCTAACCTTGAGGTGACCTCTGGATGAACCTGTGCAGAGTTCTGCATGTTTTCTTTCACCTGTCTGTCCTAACATCACAGAAGGTTCCACAGAACCACTCTACAAACCAGAGAGAAAAAAACACACTTTGCTACCCCAACCCGTAATGCTGTAATCATTCATTTCTCTGATTCTTATCATTAATCATAGAAGATATGTACTGATCAGGCAATTAGTATGATTACTGTAGCATACGTTTCATATTATATCATATTTTTATGCAGTGAAGGTACCCATGCAGGATGTGGTGAACATTATGATTATTACGTTAATGGTGGATAATCAAATCAACATTGTCTGTTATATTAGTCTTTATTTAATGTATGCAGGAACGTTCAACCTTTTCAATCAAAATATCCCATTCCTTATACTACACTAGTACAAAGCATTTTCATACTAGAAGAAATAATTATAAAAGAATATCATTTTTTCATGCAATAACACTCAAATATCCCTTTTTCCAGTTCTGTTTATCCAATCTACAAATCAACTTCCTTGGTTTATCCCATATTGTGTCAAAAGTTTGACACTTACATGGCAAAAAAAATTGACTATTACTAAATTGTATGTTTTTTTATCAAATGTCTTCTAAGTTGTGAATTCATTGAAACCACAGAAAAATCCCAAACAGGGTGATGATGAGGGTTAAGCTGCCTCATCACAGTCGCCATGGTATCATGTTGCCATAGAAACAGATGCTTTTGTCTGACAATTTACAGAATTGTATATAATGCTCTGAAACTGGCAGTTTTTTCCTGAGGTGCGTTGGTTGTCAAGGAGTTTTATTTTTAGACATCCTTGTCTTTACCTTGTCCCTTGCCCTGTCTGGCACTGTAAGAGGATCGTCCTGTTGTTGCTCTCCCAATATTGACTGAATAGCTTGTCCTTTAAGGGTCTCACTGAGCCTTCAGTGTCCCCGCAAGTCAGTCAAGCAGGGAATCAGGTGTTGCCAAGTCGTCTCGTCAACGTGTTTTCTTTCACGAGCGAGAACAAGTGTCAGAAGTTCGTCTTTTATTGGAAAGCCGGAGATTAGACCGGAGAGGGTATTATCCCGCGGATTGAGGATTTGGAAGCTTACGTCTCCATGTGTATGGGGGTGCTTGGCGGATTAGTTTCTATCCCGGTGCGGGATTAGCGCACTTGGCT